AGGAATCATTCAATATATACGAGCCCATTTAGGGGGCGGGGAGAGCTAGAATTTCAAACTTTTCGTAAGTGTCATATAAGGAAAGACATTCTTACATTGATGGTGTGAAGGAGGGGGGGGGGGGAGGCTAATTTGACTTAGGTAAGAATTGAATGGCCACTCAATGCATACAGTCCGGAATCCTTATTGCCGGGGTAACAGGGGCGTGAATAAGGAACCGCGAATAAGGATACCCACAGCTTATGGGATTTTCACTAATAGGGGCTGTGGTGGATTATCTAATTTGTTTCATTATATATAGAGCTATACTGTCTTCGACAAAGTTGTTGTACTGGGATAGAGCAACAAGCCTGTGTCATTGGATTCAGGTTTAATTGGGAACTACGCCGCTAGAGGCGCTTCACTTTTATGTTACTTATGACGGGTGCTATAATATATGGATCATAGGTCCAACATAGAATATTTCGTGATCCTGGCCATATAGAAAGTTACTGTCTTGCGCAAAGTTGTTCAAGTGACCAAAACCTTTCGGATGGTGACCATATTAGTTACGAACTCTCTCACTACGTAGCGCTAGTGTGCATGTGAACTTTCTATATACACTGTATCTCGAGAACCTGGCCATATAGAACGTTGCTGTCTTCAGCAAAGTTGTTCAGGTGATCATGTCCTTTTGTATGGTGTTCATATTAGTTCAGAACTCTCTTACTACGCAGTGCTAGTGTGCATGTGAACTTCCTATATAAACTGTATATTGAGAACCTCTCCATATAGAACGTTGTTGTCTTCAGCAAAGTTGGTCAGGTGACCAAGTCCTTTCGGATGGTTGTCATATTATTTAAGCCATGGAGAAAATCGAAGAAAAAAAAAAAAGTCGGAAAGACGCCAGATAGTGAAAACGGAGGAGCGAACGTGTTCGCAAGAAGCGGAAAGTTGCAGAGATCACCAGCGTCGAACCAGGTGACCACAGCGAGTTCCAGTAGTAGCATACCCCAAGTGGAACAGCATGGATCCCAAGGAGAGCAGCTAGGTGCGGTGCCATGCCAAATATTCACACTGAAATCCAGCAGTGGCAAACAGCAAGAAATGCAGCTTGGGAGAACCAAAATGACGGAGGTTAGGAGGAAGATCGATGAACTCTATGTGTTCGTGAAGGATAAGAACAACATACACAAGGAGGTCAAGCTACTAGCAACGGTCATCTAATCCGGCATAGCTGTGGCAGATCGGGAACTGCAAGAATGGAGAAGAAGAGCCGAAGCGGCCGAAAAGGCTCTGCTTGAGGCCAAGGAGAATGCAAAGCAGGCTGAAGCACAGGAGACGCCGAAGGGACCAACGAAACCACGTCCGGAGAAAAGAGATAGGGAAACGCCACATTTAATTCTCGAAAAATGTCATTATTGAGCTCGACAATCAATAAAATACGAATACGACTGTACAAACATTGTTTTTCACATAGTCACTGATAGACTGGATCCTCAAAACAAACTTTTTTCAAAATCTCATTAATTTTTTCGTCAATGACAAACATTCATCTGATAATAAAAAGTGTTATTTCGTGCATTCTGAGTTACATTATTGTTATCCAAGCAGTTCAGTACGTAGATGCTTGTTCACTTTAACGGATCCATGGAATGGAAGTAATTAAATTTCGTTTCAAATTTAGCTAATTAAAAAATCTGCACATGTTTGTCACGGACAATTGACATGGTTTGACTTAACGATGACTGTTAGCTCAAATGAGTGACCAAAGCAGAATTTTGAATATCGCCGTGTATTGTCGAGATTTTGCAGCACTGGTGAGGGATATAGATGTAAACTACTACGCCGGGACCGCCCCCTTTTGAATTTCTACAGTTAAGTGAACCATTTCTATGATGTGTATTTTTTCTTCTGCTTCACAGGTAGTAGGATATTGCTCAAGACATCATTGAGTCTGTAGAACTTGTAGATTTTAGCTCCAGAATAATTTGGAGAGCATTACATATCTTATTGATACCATTTCATGATGTGCATGTTGTCTTGCGTTTCACGGACTCAATACATTTTCAGGATATTTTTCAAGTCATGATTGAGCCTGTATTAGCCCAAGCATAGTTTAGGGAACATTACATATATTATTGATATACATATACACATATATATTCCATGGTGTGCATTAGGCTCTATAATCTCTTTTCAAGGCTTAAGCTTGTAGAACTTCTAGCTTTTAGAACCAGAATACTTTGGCGAGCAATACTATATTTTTGATTCCATTGAATAATGCGGTTATTGTCAGGACATAGTTCAAGAGTTTATTGAGCCTGTAAAACTTTTAGATCCTTACTCCAGAATCATTTTGAAAGGATTATCTTCCTTACCACCACTACAATTCCATGATGCGCTTGTTCTCAAAAGGTTCCCTTGAGATTCACGGACTAATAATGATTTCCACGACATTGTTTAATGCATCATTCGGCCTGTAGAACTTCAAGATCTTAAGTCCAGAATAATTTGGAGAGCATTTAATATCTTATTGATTCTCATAGGCTTTCTTTAGGTTCACGGACTCATACAGATTTTCCCGACAATATTCAATACTTCATTGAATCTAGAACCAGGGATATGGAACAGCAAAAATCACAGTCGAGTAAGTAAACACATAGATCTGTGTGTTGGCACGTCGAGAATAAAGAGATGTGCAATGAGCTTAACCTATGAGCATGTGCTAATGAAAAATGTGCACTCTTGCAGAATGTGCTTATTTTCAGTTGATTTCGAGTTCTCTTTGTGCTTTTTCTTGTACGCTCGTACCCACATTGCACGTCTTTCATTTTTTTTACGTACTCTATCTGGTCTCTTACTCTCTAAAAAATCGTGTGCAGGTGACTAATAACACACAGCACAACTTTTTTTTTAGCTGTGAGCGTGTTTCCAGACGATCCCTGACTAGAACTACAAGATCTTAGCTCCAGAACAGTTTACTGAGCATTAAATATCTTATTGATTCCATGATATGCTTTCTTCTTCTTCCTCCTTCTTCGCATTTCAAGCTTAATGCATGCTTGCAACTTAGTGTTCTATATGCGCTTCTACAGCTATTAATTGAGAGCTTTCGATGCCTGTACATCAGTATAGTTGTGTGGCAAGTACAACCATACTCTATGCCCAAGGAAGTCAAGACATTTTCCAACCCGAAAAAATCCTAGACCGAGCCGGGAATCAAACCCAGCCACCTCCAGCATGGTCTTGCATTGTAGCTACGTCTTTACCAACTGAGCTAATGGAGGCCCCTGCTATGCTTTAGGATGGTTCAAAATGTCGATTTTGCTCCACCAAGGTGAACAAAAAGTTCACTTTTCCCATAGTAATTCCCAAAAGGCCAGTGCCGTATGAGATCGCAACCAAATGAGCTCATATTTTGAGAATCGACTGAGTTGGTTGGAGCATCTTGTCAAAAGGTTCTCTTGAGCTACACGGAATAATAAAGATTTTCAGGACATAAATCAAGACTTCATTGAACCTATACACAGCGATTTTTTTAATATTGCATCCAAGCGGTTGCACTTGAATCAGGTCAGAAATCTCATGTAATTTTTATGGCCACAAAAATAAACAAATGCAGTAAAAGCAGCGTAATGTCAGTTCATACACTGTATTAATGATAATTTTGTCCTTTATGGCAAGTAATATTACACCATATTTTTGACACGATTGAAGTGCATCCACTTTGATGTGATATCAAAATTAATTTTTTGATGTGTAGAACTCCAAGATCTTAACTCCAGAATAGTTGGGTGAACATTAAATATCTTATTGATAATTACCATGTTTACATGAGGCTTTAGGTAGCTCTGATGATATATATGATGATATATGTCGGAAATGTGCGTATCTAAACACTTCGAGCTTGTAGAAGGCTTAAGGGCCTAATTCTAGGACAATTTGGAGAACCTAGAAATCTGCAGGATCTTGAAAAGCTGTTAATGATGACCAATGAGATTCACACAGTGTAGAGTAATCCTAATGGTGGTATTTTTTTGAGATCAATTAGGCAGGGATTTTACAATAAACTGGACTTCAATGAAGTGCTGTGAAGGCCAACTTATCTTCTATTGATACATATCAAATTTAGTGCGACCACTTAGCTCAATTTTTAGGACTACAGCACTGATACTAAGAATGCTAAAACCATTTCTAACTACAGCCTTGCAAATTTCTTTATACGACCTCATGACCCATTCGGTTGATCTAATGATCCATTAGCTATACCAATGCAATAATTTTACAGCCTCTCAATAATAACAAATGTTAACATGCAAAACGTGTGATACATGTGACCTGCTTATCGAGCTCAAAACTAAATCAATTTCAACTCTTCATGCACCGTTTCCACTTAGCTCACGTGTTTATGGTTGCACGCAGACGGTGATTGTAATAAAATAGAAGGCCCTCTGGCGGCTGACCGCATGGGACACGACGACTTTGCGACGCTACGGGACACGGTGTAGCAAATAATAATAATATGGTTACACAATGCTTAAAATTCGATATTAATTTTTACACCGTCCGCGTCCGGAAGAGGTAGGTATGTGGGCAGCTACTGGGCAACGGCAGCAACACGTACTACACACAGGTACCTACAATAATCGTCTCGTTTAGCAGTAGCAGTAGCAGCAGCAGCAGCCTCGAAGCCAGTAGTTACAACAGAAGGTCCATAATAGCAGCAACAAAAACAACAAACACAACCATCGAAAACATCATCATCAACTTCGACAAAAATCGTACATCTTTTAAGAGAGGGCTTTGTCGTGCACAGCTTTTCTTCCTTTCTCGGATTCATCACCGGATCGTTTTCAGTTGCCATATTTTGGAGCTAAGTTATGCCCTTATATTTACGATATAAAACATGCACACACAATAACACAACACTCTGCCGTGATCGTTAAATATCACCCGAAAAGAAATGATCTTCTTCTACCTTTTCGGGGAGGCTAAATGTAACGAACGAGAGTAGTCACCTGAATAGCACACCCGCACACACGACCAACTTGTTCGCGTATGTTTTCGTTACTAGAAGCCACTCGTTTCAAAGCCCAATAACGCCGCAACGAAAATGCAACGCACACGACGGCGGGATCACCACTTTAACTATATCGGACAGATGGGGGAAAAGGTACTTCCTTCTACGGACACGGTTCGAGATCGACTGGCACTCTGTCTGACTGGGTGCTATGGTGTTGGATAGGTGGTTGGTGAGTGAGGCACGCGATCGATCGATCCATGTGAGTGGTTTCAGCAACAGCAACCCAACCAACAAACGGCTACGGCGGCTGACCGTGATGTATAAACGCTACGGACGGACGCTACTACACGGACGAGGAATGCGGCTCAAAAGTGAGTTGAGTATGACTCAACTTTGACAAAGTGAGAAAATTATCCGAGCAGGAAAAAACTTCTCGAATATGAAGCAAATCGTTGAAAATTTTACTCTGTTTAGGAGTATACTAATAGACTGAGTGAATCCCTCATATTCGAGAAGCTTTTTCCAGGAAAATCTCGGAAAATTCAACTCCCAAGCAAAATAGAGTCGAATTCAAGTCACTTTTGAGTCGGTTTCAACGTCCGTGTAAATAATGCACAACACCACCACTCATTCACTAGGTTCAACAACAACACTTACTAGCATGCTGTTGGTTGGTATGGAGACGTCGCGTTGGATACCGCGATGATGGCCGGTTTGAGTTACCGGCAGTGAACTAACAAAACATGCAAACGTCGAAGAGAGTGGGTGACTTCGACCCGAATCGCGGCGGGGTTCGTTTAGTGGTTTGTGGCTTCACACCAGCTGTGGTTCCAGGCGTTTTGAGAGAAAGTTTTCAACGAGATCGCAAAAATATCTTCACCGCTTCTTTTCAAGTTGGTGCGAGTATAGTAAAATAAATTCAATTTGTTCAATAAAAATTCGTTTTTTCAAGAGTGTTGAAACATTTTTAAATTTTTAAATTAACCAAGTAGGGGAAGATGGATTCCACAGGAATCCTAGCACACTTCAACTTCAAAGTCTCCGATACATTTTTTTTAATTTCAAAGAAATTTGTCGAAGTCTGTGCAAGCAACTGAGTTAAACGGACTATTATCCTGAATTTTGCAAAGAGAAGGGAATGGACTTTGAATTGTTTTTGAGATTTTTCAAGACTGTGAGAAAACTTGTATAAATTTTCAAGATGCTGGACCAAAGATTCAGATGTCAGACTTTTAAAATTTTCCAAGATCAAATTTTTATCAGAATAAAGGATCTTAGAAAATTTCCAAGATTCTTGGGCAAGAAGAAAATATTGATGATTCTGGAATTTCGTAGCACTTCAAGAATATCTATAATAATTTCTGAAATTTTTTGAGGTGAAAATAATGTGAATTCTAAGGATAATTCCAAAAGAATTTTGATTAGTATTCCAAGAGAGTTTAGTTTCGAAAAGAACACAAAGGTAGTTGTGAGGAAAAATTCAAACGAAATCTAAGCAATGCTTCCCAGGAAATTCTTAGAACCTCTTAGAGAGTTCTGCGAATAATTCCTATGTCCTTTTGAAGAGCATTCAAGGGAGAAGAGCTTCGATTTAATTCAGAGGAGAATCCCAAGGTAAGAGGATAATCCTGAAGAAAATTCGAAAGATTAATTTTCAATTAAATCCATTTATTTGTGAAAGCTTAATTGCGTTAGCTTTGCGGAGCTGTGATTCAATGTTTCAAAAAATAGGGGGCGACCCCGGCGTAGTGGTTAACATCCATGCCTCTCACGCCAAAGTCACGAGTTCAAATCTCACCCCCGGACAAGTCACGAATAACCCAAGAGTGTTAAACTGACTAAAAAAAAAAAAAAAAATGTTTCAAAATTCTGAAGATCATTCCAAAGAATTCTAAGGTGTTTTCCAAGGAATTCTGAAAAGAATTCCAAGGGAATTCAAATGATAGTTTGAAAGGAATTCTATGGCGTATTCCAATGATATTCCTATGAAAATTTCAAGGATACTCACATTGGTATTTCATGAGGATTATGAAACATATTTTTTAAGGAATTCTTGCGCAGAATTTAACAGTTATTAAGGTAACAATTCCATCGCAGTTTTTGTTGAACACTTAGAAAATTCTGAAGAGTAAAAAAAGCAGAATTTTGATGAAAATATCAAGTCCTATTAGAATCATTCGAAATTCAATGCAAATTGCAAAGAAAATTTCAAGAGTTATCTGTAGAGAATTTCTGGAGTGTTTTGAAAAAAAAAGTATGTGAGTATTACCATAGAAATTTAGAGTCTCAACATGGATTTCTAAGATGATTGTATAGAAATTCTCGAGCAAATCCCAAAGAAATCCTGTGAAGGGCTCATAGGAACAGAATAGTAATCAAGATTTTGACATAGAAAAAGTATAGGATTCGCAGACTTTGTTTGATTCAGACAAATTTTGATTTAAAAACGTGAGAACTTATATGAATATCTCGAAGATGGATGATTTTTAGAAATATTCAAAATGCTATATTTTTCATATTACTAAGTAAAATTAAAAAAAAAACTACAAGGGTCAGCCCTATGGGGTTGTACGCAATGGTGACGTAGGTCACGTATATAATAAAAAATATTTGTTAACTGCAGCAGGAGCTTGGGTTTTGTGTAAGAATAGGAACATGAGCGGGGTTCTCTCTGTGTATACTCTTTAGTATGACGCGTTTGACATAGATGGCCCACAGCGACTCACGAAGAGCTACTGATTTCGATCAATAGCGGTGCGGCTTCTTCTTTCTTCTATGGATGCTCATGTGGGCTGCAGCTCGCTGCTTGCAGGCGGCCTTTCGTTGTATTCTGGAGAACACCACCACTCACCTCGCGGTGATTGAATAAACACCTATAGTGAGACCGGATGGAATTAAACTTTGAAATCTTTTCGCAGGCAATCCGTGATAATTTTAATTATCATAGCAAAAGATGCACATTCGTGCAATTTTCAGCAGTGACACTTTGAAAATTGATTAAGTCTTAAACTTAACAGACGCGTTGAAATATTTCTGATCGATTGGTGATAAAATAATTGAAATTGGTCCAGGGGCAGCTGAGTTATTAACATTCAAAATCTTTCATAATTTTGTAACATGTTCCATTTTCTGTTTTCACAAAGTGTACCCCCATATAGCAATCACAGACGTAGTCCTACGTCAAAATGTCTGAGACCATCTTTTTGTAAGTTATCAAGGTTTTGAACTCAATCAAATTTTCTAGAGTTTTGCAATATTTCGAACTTTGTAAATATTTAAAATTGCAGACTTGAAGAATTTTTTTTCAAGATTCCGAGACAATGAAATGTTTTTTTTTCACCCCAGATTTCTCTTCTTCGGAAATATGATCACTTCAAGTCAAAATATTCACTGGTGTGCTCCAAGATGATCTTCGTTTTCAAAATAACTTTATATGTCTTCAAAAGTCTTGACAAAACATGAAATGTTTTCAAAATTTCGGTGGAAAATGAAAGTTTTCAAGTATTTCAAATATTTTTAAAATTAGCACTAGCTTTCAAATCTGGCATCCATGCTTCACACCTGCATCACGAGACTGACATAAATAGAGCACAAAAACCAATCTATTTCCAAATATCTATGGATAATGACCATGCGTCTCCATCGGGTGTTAATTTGCTTTATGAAATCTCGAAAGTCACACCAGTAGCGTTGCTAGAAAATTTAACTGCGGCATTTTTTTGTTTTGTTAAATAACAAAATTCCCTAAGTTGATATGATTAAGGCTTGTACTCGAAGAAAATGCACCATTTTTATCCGTGTGTAACTTTTTTATCCGTGGATAAAAATTGATGAAAATCTCGGTATAACTAGTTTGGAGTGAATTGTTTACATGTGCAAAATTTCATAACAATCGGTTCAGTGGTTATTGAGATGTAATCGAAACAAGAAGAAAATCGCCGGAGAAAATTTGCGCGCCGTCATGGAAAATCAGACTGCGACCATGAGATGGATCGGAAGACAACTGGGAATCACCCATACAACTGTGTCTCGGGTAGTAAAATCGTTTAAGGAGTCCCAGACGACCGAGCGGCATGCTGGAAGTGGAAGAAAATCGAAGACAGCCAACCCTGTGAAGGCCCGGAAGGCGTTGGATTATTTCAAGCGTAATCCGAACCTTTCGATTCGCGACGTGGCTCTGAAGACAATTGTTCCGCCTGGTTCGTTCAGCAAACCATGAAACGAGCTGGGCTTCGTGTATTCAAGGTCCGGAAGGCACCGAACCGGCGTGATCAACAAAACACGGCGGCCAAATCCCGCGCAAGGACGCTGTATCGAGAGTGGTCAACGAAACCGATGTGTGTGGTTATGGATGACGAAACCTACATCAAGGCAGACGCAAAGCAGATACCGGGCCTGGAGTTCTACGTTGTCAAATCACGGTTTGATGTTCCGGAAGACATAAGAAAGAAGAAAGTGGACAAATTCGCCAAAAAATACTTGCTCTGACAGGCCATATGCCAATGCGGTAAACTGAGTAAACTGTACATCACAATGGATACCATCAACAGCGAAATTTACCGCACCGAGTGCCTCCAGAAGCGTCTGTTGCCCTTCCTGCGGTCCCACGGAGGCGAGACATAATTTTGGCCGGACCTGGCATCATGCCATTACGCGCGATCGACGTTGGATTGGTACAGAGACAATAACGTTGTTTTTGTACCAAAAATCGAGGGAGGCGACACATCTAAATCTCAATTCTAGATGCTCAACTAATCTCACACTAGCGAATCAAACTTCGAAAATTTTTCTTTCATTTCTCACATCTACTTGCATCGCGCATCATCTTTTTGCAGGAAATCTTCATAATCGACATCAATCTTCTTTCTATCTACTCAGCGTGCGCGCAGCTAACCACGGCAAAACGCAATTTTTCCTGCATCAAAGATAGAGTCGCCCCCCTCGCCAAAAATCGCAAACTCCCCTATTTCACCAGAGATTCGTCCGGTGGGAAGATTTTGGGCCATAATGAAGGCCAAAGTTCGAAAATCGTCCAAGGTGTTTAAGAACGAGCTGGAGTTGAAGAAAGAATGGATGAAAGTGACCAAAAAGGTCGGCTCCACCAT